TGTATTTTAGTTTTCTGAGAACGAAGCCGATTTTTCAAAGATCCTCTGGAAACCCGGTCTCTGGAATTTTTTCAAAAGTTGCTTCCGCTTGTGAAAAGTTCTGCTCAAGTCTTGGCTATTGAACAGCAAAAATCGCAGGTCTCTATCTCATTCCTATCAAAAGTTATTCAAAAAGCAACCGAGTGCATTTTGAAACGGACAGTAGTTAGAATCTACATTTAAGAAGCTTTCTAGCTGTGTGTTTAAAAAGATTTTTAACACTTCTTATCTTCGAGCGATAAGAGCATTTTTGAACGGTAGAAGAATATAACCTATCAAAAGCGAGTAATGTAAAAGTCCTTGCATGAATGTCGCTTCATTTTCTTGTGCTAACAACATTTTAGAAAAAAAATCAAAAAGTTATTCGAAATCTACATTCAAAACAAGCATCTAAACACGTGTGCTTTTAAGCCATTACCACCCTTACTCACCTAGCTCAATACCGAGAATCGTCTACTTCGAAAACAAATTATTTAGCAAACTCAGATTACCATGACTCAAAAAATGACACTAGAAGCAAGTAAGTGTATGCACATGAGAATAAAATTTAACCAAAATCCAATACACTGGCTAGTAGAGCCTGAAATCGAGATTTTTTTTCGAAGTTCAATAACTACCCAATCAGACAAGGTACAAATTAACGATGTTTGGACATGTTCATTTAGGCACAATGGAAGCACTGTTACCCAATAACGCATCACCGTCCTTTACGAAGAAGAACTACTAGGCGTCGTGATCGCCCTGGTTTTCTTATTGATGCTGGTGTCCTTTTTCTTTTTGTTCTTTTAGGGCTTTTTTACGTTGGTGTTGCTCTTATGCGTATTATTCCTGATCGTGATGGTTATACTGCTATTCATATGTTGATTGCTTTTCTTTGTATTCTTTTTCTTGGTTGTGCTATCCTTTTTTGTATGTTTGGTTGTGGTTTTCTTGTCCTAACCTTGTTGAGAAAGAATGGAAAGAATTCGGGCTAAACCGACGTGGTAACATTCGATTCAAACTGATTTTCTAAAAATAAAGTCTAACCGAAGTAAACCCGGACTATTGTTTGAAAAGAGAAAATGAGCGGAGTAAAACGTAGAATAAAAAAGGTTGATTGACTTACAATTGATGTTGCATGAACGTGATACCTTTCGTAAACGAAAAAAGGAAGTTTGATTGATTGATTGTTTGTATACTTGACTTTATCTTCATGTGTCGCAGCTGTTTTTTCTTTGCGTAACACGTAGACTAGTAATGTCTGAGGCAATCGGTCACTTTACGGCATAAGTCTTTAATCTATTATTCTCTAATATTCATTATGGTTTTATACTGCAACGAGTGAATGTCCGAGAAAATATTTTGAGTTATCATCCGTTCAGCTGATCAGAAACTATGCTGTCATACAAGCCGTTTGATCTATTGTCATTTTCTCTTCACTTCTATTTCGAGCTTATTGTATTTTCATATTCTTACTAGCTATTTGACTCCACTTATCATTATAATGGCTTTCACTAAATCTTCTATTTTTCAATTATCAATGCAATTTTGGTTACGACAACAGCAAATTGAGTTTAATATAAAAAGAGGATAGACATGCAGAACACTCTGCTGAACATAGCTCCATGTCTGTTAAACCGGACAACCTTAACAATTTTAATTAAAACGTGAAATTTAGAAAAGGGTAATTTTCTATGGAAAAAGCTCTGATAAGAGTTAACGGAAAAAAGATATTTATATTCTCCCACAGAACTATTCGGAATATAATATTCGACACTGATGTTTTTAGAACATAATAAAACCTTCATTTATGCTATATTTTAGAGTTGAGCAAAATGCTTTCGTATGGACAAGAAAACGAAAAAGATGCGGTCTATCAACCATATCAATAACCTGTTCCGAATTATTTAATGCAATGGCAATGAATGTACATTTAAATAATTCGAAACAGGTTATTGATATCGTTGATATTGACATGCATCGTATTCGTTGGATTGAATTATTTGGCTCTAATATTCATTCTGAACTATCATTGTCGATCAATCAGTGGTTAGTCATTGAATCTGACACAAATCGCTTTTATTTATTGGAAACCAACGGAGAATTAGGAGAAATAGATTGTACTATCGATAATAGTTCTCGTATATTATCAATCAAAATGTTAAATGGGAATGTTGGACTTGTCATGTGTATATCAAAACAAAAAAGTCAAATCCTAGGTAACATCCTCGCACAACATCTGTTTTAATGTTGCAAACATATCACATTAATTTACTCTTTTACCGAACCTTTATAGTGTAACGATAAAAATTTTCTTGCTGTTCATGGCCGACATCACTTATTCCAATTTTTTATTCGTTGATTAATGATCAAAGAAATCTAAAGAAAGGATAGTCAGCCAGCCGCAATAAGACATAATTTTTTTTGAATTCAATGAATTCTTTTCTTTCTATCCTCGAGCGACATCGTTATTTCTGTTTTTTGATTGGCTGATGGTAATAATCAATCACACAGAACAAGTATAGCCAGCCAGATACAGTGAGACTTTTGAATTTCTGTTGCATTTGAGCATATGTCCAAATGTCTAAGTCTCGAATTTCTCATTCTAATTTCCTTTGCCTTATTTCTTTTACTGGCTGTTCGCGTGAATAAACGAAAATATAATAACTAAAAAATTTCGAAATTTATGTTCATAAAAATTTCTTTCTAGAATTTCTATTGGCTGAAATTCGATTCAATGCACCCGAACAGTCAGTAAAAGAAATAAAGCAAAGAAAATTAGAATGATAAATTCGAGACTTAGATATTTGGACATATGCTCAAATGCGGCAGGAATTCAAAAGCTACGGTTTATTTCCAAAAAGAAAGTAGCAGGAAGGCTAATTAGAAGGATTCAAAAACAGCTCTACGCGATGCATATATTGAAAATCTTCGCGGCTCGCAGGTCGTGTAATAGTGGGCGTACCTGTATGAAAGCGCCCTATCATAGATAGTATTTTCTCGTTCTAGATATAAAAATATTTTAAACTATTGTTGTTCGCTGTTATTATATTTATGGGAATTAAGTTTGATAAAGTAAATCAGAATCCACGTCCAATGATTTGTCCTAGTCAGCTGATTAATTTAAATGAAGCAGGATCGATCTACTTTGTCAAACACAAACGAAAAATTGAAAATGAAAATGAACTTGCAAAAATAACCGATTTTGCGTTGGCAGTAGATGTTGCAGATACTTTAAAAGATGATATATTTCATTATTTAATTTTCCGTTGTTGTTCTTACAGGTTCATCAACAAATGACGCATTTATTGCTACTCATTATGATTTGTTCATTTGCAATCCAACAGACTATACAACTTATGTCGACTCAACCTTTAGAATTCATAAATGGGAAAATTATCTATTAGTAAAAAAGCTTGGTCAAATATCAATCAATGATATTCAAATGTTTTATTCTCCAATACATTTTGCTCAAGATCTGGAACATCGTTTAATAAACAACGTTTATAATCATATGTGTCAACAAAATAAAGGTCCTAATTGATCTTCGATATTAAATTGTCAGACATTCATTCGCTCGGTCCTCGAATATCTCGGTTGTCAATTACCATCAGGTGTTACAGTTATAAGTGACTGTATTCCAACAATGGTAAACATGTGCTTCAGTGGTTCATTATTAACAGCTCAAACAACAAAAAAAACAAATCATCAAGTCGCCAACGATGAAAAATATGTTCAGAAAATGACTTTATCGGAATTGGCGGAGATAAAAAATTCAGCGTATTAAAGCGTAGCGGCTCTTATCAGTCCTAAAAGATGATTTATATTGTTTTTAAATACTTCTTTTGCCTTAAAATCAAGCAGGTAGTAAGTGTATAGTGCGTAACACATATATGTGCTTCGATACCTTTGTACAAAGTAGAGCGTGTTTCTATAGCTTCTATGGTATATTTTTTGCGTTATTTCTCTCCTTTTGCTTTTTCTGTATCCAAATGTGCGTCATATAATATAGACCACCCATTAGCACGAATAAAAATACCGAAGTTGATTTCTACGTGAGCGCAACCATTACACTGCAACTGCATAGATATTTATCTCTTTCGTTGCTGAAAGAACTGTTTTTTTCTAAATCAAAGGCGAAAAAGTGAGAATTCTGCTCATAATTCTGAATTTTCTTCATCAGAATTCAACTTGAATTCAACAAAACTGAGTCGACTAATGGGTATTTTGAAATGTTTCCTTGATTTTCATTTTTTCGTGGTAATCTCGATAATTTTTCAACGTGAATATTCCACCAAATTAAAGTAGTCCGACAGGATAGAAAAAATACAGGTTCGATTAGTGACATCCATGCTGAACACCACTTTAACTGCAAAATTCATCAAATAACATTTTTCTACTCAGCTTTCAATGCTGAATCAGAAAAAAATAGTTTGATAAGTCCGCATCGTCAAATAAGACGGAAATTCAATTTGTTCCAAAATCAGAGGATTTAGTTAGAGGAGTTTAGTTAAAAGCACTCTGGGCAGAGAACGCACAGCTTCTATTCCAGCGTTGAGGAACGCTACTACTCATACCGTAGTCGACACACAAGAGAAAGCTGAAATGCTAAACAGCTATTGCGCAGAAGTTTCTACATGGGCAAGTCCCACTGTCGATCCAAAAATTGCAGACAGTTTACCGGAATCTTCTGCAAAGATCGATAAGTTCAAGGAAGAGCAGCCTAATATTGACACAATTTTGCGAAAACAAACGAAAAAAATCTTGTTCAGTATTCCATCGAAACAAGAAGTTTTGGCTTAAGAAATTACAAAGACGGTATACAGGTTGATCTTTATTATATACTAGCGGAAGTACCCGATGTCGGTCTAGATAATTTGATGGTACATGTTTGACGTATGAGAAGACGACGTCGCTATGGTCTTCTATGGATTACCGATCGGAAATATCGCACAATACGTTTGGATCTTTGCCTTCTCAACTTTTAGTATTTGATATTTTGAGATTTTCATAAATATCTTTTTTCTTTTCAATTTTCTTTAAAAAACTATTTTTATTTAAGAGAAACTGTCCAAAGTAAATTTGAAGGAATTTGTGTTCCTCATTCGAGGCTGGCAACAGAGATCCCACGCGGTGGTAGACTTGACCCTGCACCTTGAAGGTGGGCATGAAACCTGGCTCACACGCTTCATTCGCGGCGCCGAAAGACGTCATCTGGAAGCAGCAATTGTATTTTGTAATGTTCTCCAGATAATGTTTCGACTGAGACGTTGTTTCTGACATCAGTGATTCCAGTGGTTCCGGAGGAGGCTGAAGTGGTGGTAGCCTCACCTTACCACCAGAGCAACACATACCTGGTGCTTCTCCAAGCCACTTGAGAGCATCACAGTATGAGCAAACATCGATCATTTGTTCAATATGAAGCTGAGGATGGCCGTCGTAGTTGTTAGCTGGATCATAGCGAAACGCTTCCCCTTCCATGAATGTCCAATGTACTGCTCTTGAGGCTGCTTGTCGTCTACGTTGATCTTCACTCCGAGTCCGTCTCTGCTCCGGAGCCTCGACTGCTCTGGAGGCTGCTTGTCTTGCACGTTGATCGTTAATTCGAGTCCGTGTCTGCTTTGGACTCTCGGCGTCTCTTGAAGCCGCTTGTCTTGCACGTAGACTACCAAGCCGAGGTTTGCCTCTGTTCCGAACTCTCGGCGTCTCTTGAGGAAGCCTGTCTTGCACGTTGGTCGCCAAGCCGAGTTTGTCTCTGCTCTGGACTCTCAGCTGCTCGAGAAGCACCATTCTATTTGGAGGATGGTATAAATTGCGATAAGTAAAAGAAATTCTTCTCCGACATCATTAGTCATTTTTAATCTCCAATCTTGATTCCATTTTGTTCCAATTTTAGAATCCGCAAGTATTTTAATTGAATCTTTGTCTGTTGGACCTATTGTTTCATCATCAGACTTTCTTAGCATTGAGCTTGAATCGTATGCTTTTCCGGTTATTCGATAAACTATGTTCTTCAGCTTATCGTAAACCCAATATTCACGGTCGGCTGACCATCCATTAGAATCAACTCGTTTTATATCGAATTCATTTGTCAAGCCAGCTCGCTTTTGTGCTATGATCAGTACTAAATAATGTTCTAGTGTAAAGAAATATAGAAGTAAAGTCAAATGACATCGAAAAACAGCCATAATTGCAAGGAATCCCTTTTGTGCTGTATTTGCTTGATATATATTATTATCTTCAAAGTGACAGATGAGAATAGAAAGCTTTCACATCATGGATATTTCTCTTTTGATGGCGTAACAGAAGAGATAATTCTGTTATAATGGACCTTTACCCATTGCTACCGCTGATAAGAACAGGAACACTAAAATTGATTTATCATAGCGTTGATTAATAGTCCATGTCACTCCAAACTATTATTATCACACAAAAAACCAAAATAAATATTTAAGTAAGTAGCACCAGAAGAAGCGATGAGACATTTTTCTTGACTTGTTTCTCAATTCAATTTTTTGTTACGTTACTTGACCAAAACAAGAGGTTCTACAATCCGGACTCTACTTCCTGCCTTGTCAAACTTTATTTCTTATTCTAATATTACCGTTTGTAGATAAACTAACTAAATATGATATAAATATGTACACTCTGCACCTTGGAAAAATCTACAGAAAGCTTGGCCGGTGTGAAATAGAATCTATTCTTCAAATCTTTTTTTCGTTGCATTCCAGTTGATACTTCCTATGGTTCTTCAGCTAGTTTCTTCATTCGCAATTTCATCATTACCTGTAGTATTCTTTGGTTGTGTGCTTTTTGTAGTAGCACTAGTTACTTTCTTCACCACCACAGTAATATACCATGATAAACCTCGCTTGGCGAAAAAATCTTCCTGAGACTCCATGTATTTTTCCGGAAGCGATTTCATCGCCCAATTTGTTAGAACGTAAACTAAATTGTCAGGCAGATCCTACAACAGTTCTTGTCTTGACAGATCCTGATTCACAGCTCGTAGCTGATGACATTTCCATGCCTGAATGGCATCCGTACTCATTTTAAGTTTAGCCAATAATTCACGATCTAATAATTCTTTGTCAGTTACTGAACTGTTTATCACAGTACGTTATTTTTCCAAAGTGACAGCCAAATTATTACATTCTACATATACGTCATCATGTCCATGGTCACACTTCTCGGCATAATCAGTGTCATTTGAATGTGAAAGTGCATAGTTAATGCAATGATCAGCTATAGTTGACGGTGATCAAGAATATACACACTTATATGATTTTCGTTTTAATCTGAGCTTCACTTTCTTAACACAGTCCTGTTCAATTAACTCAGGTTTTAAAAGCTCGGCTGGTGTGAATAGAATCTATTCTTCAAATCTCTTTTTCGTTGCATTTCAGCTGACACTTCCTCTGGTTTCCATCGAATTGTTTGTTGTACACCCTCATCGAACTTTTCATTGAGATATTTTATCTGAGATTCGTTCAAATGTGTCACTTTTCGTTCTTTTGGCAAAGCCCATCCTCTGTTAGGTGGTGCAATGCGAATTGTATCATCGTCATCATCAGGTGTAGTCTCTTCTAATTGAAGAGAAATCATTGATCTTACTCCAATATTTCCAGTTTCGAGTGATACTGAGTTATACCGATGTCCCCCATGGAACTACGTTCTATTCGACGTCGGTGTTTTCCTGCATATAAACGTTGAGTTAAATGTCCGTACACTGTAATCTTGAATTAATTTCCCGTTTATAGAAAATCGCCGGGCAGTTTCTAGTATGTAGAAATTCCGCGACAAAGTTACCGCTTTCTAGGAAATGTTGATTTTCCATAAATCCGCTTTTCTATAAAGACGGAGAATCGCTGAGGATTTTCTATAAACTGGAAAGTCACCGGCGATTTTCTAGTTTATAGAAAATCAATCGAATTTCTATGAATAATTTTCAAGAATCTGCAAATTCGATTTTGATTTTCTATGAACTAGAAATTCGTGGACGAATTTCCACTTTCTAGAAAATTGCCGAGGATTTTCAAGAAAGTGGAAATTCGTCCAGCAATTTCTAGACCAAATACTTATTCATCTTTTTGTTTTGCAATCAGCCTAGGTATAAGAGCGTCACGTAAAGACACTCATATTACACATAAATCAACTTTGATAGTTTCTACTTTAGACCACAATTCTGGCTATGCCAACAAGAGTTTTGATTTAGACAGAGACAGTGGTGGCACGAAGTTTTGGTAATAAGATCTGGAAAGCAGGGTTGTGCACCAGAAGCTGCTCAGAAGTATGAGCGGGATCAATCCTCGTACAACCTGGTGACGCCTCCACTCAGTGCCCCGCCAAGGAATTTCCAGTTTATAGAAAATCAAACAGAAACTTTTACTTTCCTGAAAATTATTTATGGAAATTCAACGGCGATTTTCCGGTAGCATGACTTTCGCCGTAGTGACTGTCGCAGTGGACTTTCGGTAGTTGTGTTTTTGTTGGATTTTCGCAAAATACCAGACTGGAACTTTGACAATAGCCAATAGTCCAGTTTTGTAAATATCGGAAATACATTAAAAGCACAGCTTTAATTAGTAGTAATTAATTAATTCGCTAATTACTGAACTTCGGCAATATATAATTAAACATTGCCGAAGGTCCCAGCACAATATTTATCGATTGTCAATACACATATTATTCAAGAATTCGTACTATTTGTGGGTTTGTTCAGGTATTATGCAATCATAAACATTGTTAATAAGAGTGGTTATCATGTGGCGGTGGCAATGCAGGTGGCTTGCAATGCAAAGTACTTGGTCAGCGACTGATCGATGAACAATGTATATATCATGTTGTCCGGAAAGTTCGTGCAAGTATACTTGAACTACATGCGTCAAAAATCTAGTTTCTATCATCGTGTAGAGCGCGCATTTTTATCATGGTTCACCCTTTTCAGCATGATTTTATGATTTCCTTAGTTCGAAAAAAATTAATTTTCATAATCATCCTTGTCCATGTTTCAGATATGATGGTGGTGGGAGTGGGTTAGTATCTTTATATCTCACTACACAAAAGGCGTCGGGAGATGAAGATTTTAGGAGATGTACAATTTTATCTAGGTTACGATCTATGATAGTCAGAATCCAAACATGGTCGATCTAAATCCTCGGATTTTTCAGCATGTTTCCATAAAAGCCTTCCATATATGATCAGAGAACTTTGAAATTCTAAGACTACCAGTAGAAAGAGCAGCAAAAATCCCTTTGTAATTTCATTTTCATAGTGATCGAACAAGATTTCAAAGAGATATCAAAAGGCTTTCGAAGAAATATGCACAATTAACTAGTCACGTTTGCATGGTCTTCAGGTCTTCTCTAACCAAACAGCCACTTTTAATATCTTTAATATCTATCGTTTAGCATTGGTTGAAAAATACAGTCCAGTAGTATGTAATTTATTTTCGAGTAAAAATAAAGATAGAAAGGGCAACGGCAATTCAGATAAATAGATACGTGTTCTTTAGTACTACTCATTTTTTTTCATCATAGTCCGACCACACTTTACACGTATTGTGCGCTTTATATAATAAAGTTTTCGTCATCTTTTTTTTAATTGTTAAGAGTTACATAACCAATTTGATGTGCTTAGATGTACTTGTTAATAGAGATTATTCACCAATTGGACACATTTCTTTATGTCTTTCTCTTCTTCACCTCGTCGTCTTTCTTCTGTCTTCTCCTTTGTTGTGTTATACTATATATAGTGCGTGTGTTTTTATGTTACATTAAGTCATAATTTCTATCGAAATAAGCATTTTCATGCTCGTCGTCATCGAGGTAACAATATTATTGCGAAACTTTTAAATATTCTGAAGCGTCCGGTGAGTGTTAATTCTTGCGCAGTACAGTCGTAGAGAAATAGTAAACGCATCATTATTTCTCTTTTCTTTACAGTGATTTTGCGCGATAGTTAGTCTTTGAGTGAATTTGTAAGTGTAGAAGCTCTACACTAACTACATGGGA